GGTGGGTGAAAGAGCTGCAGTCGCATCCGCACCACGTGTTCCACCTGCGCGCCCAAGACAACCCTCTGTGCCTGGTCACATCGGATCTCCCCCTCCCCACACTCCACCAAAACGACGAGGACCCTTTCGAGCCCACGGGCTTCATCACCGCCTTCTCCACCTGGGCCCTCGAGCCCAGCCCACTCTACCTCCAGTCCTCCCTCTCCTTCTCCGGCCACCTCGCCGAGCTCGAGCGCACTCTCGAATCCTCCTCTTCCTCTTCCTCCGCCACCTCCTCCTCCTCTTCGTCCTCCACGGTGGTTGTTGATAATTTGAGGGCCTACATGCAGATTATCGATGTAGCGTCGATTCTAGGGTTGGACTGCGACATTTCCGACCACGCTTTTCAGTTGTTCAGGGATTGCTGCTCCGCCACGTGTTTGAGGAACCGCAGTGTGGAGGCGCTTGCCACTGCCGCTCTCGTTCAGGCCATTAGAGAGGCTCAAGAACCCAGAACCCTTCAGGTCCTAACGCCTCTCTTCTCTTTCCTTTTGTTGCAATTATTGTTCCTGCAATGATTTCAATTATTCTCTTCTAATTGAATACATGCGTTTTCTTAAGCCAAAATAAACGGTCATTGTTAGGGATTTGTTAAGAGTCATCGTTCGTTCTCCAACAACCACCATTTCAGTTTGCTTTCTGAAAACCTGAAACGCAGGCCTTGTTTGTTAACTGTTTTCTAAAATTTGTTCCAAGTGTTAATCCGCTATATTTCTGTTTTTAAAAGTTTAAGCATTTTTTTTTTTTCATAGGAAACATTTGGATTGAACCTACTGCTCGTGCTTCTAACTATCACGACTCCTCTTCTCTCAACCACGCTAACCCTAGTGGTTCCCTAAGCATTTAATAAGAACGCATGAACTAAACAAATGAAAAGTGATGAGAAAATATCTTGTTCTGTTTTTTAGTTTCTAAACAGTTGTTTTGACATAAATTTGGATGAGGAATTGATTGCTGAATATTATAGAATTGTTTTTAAGACTGCATTTGGATAATAAGCTTCTCTATGAATGAAAATAAAAAGAAAAAAGTGAATTAAACTTTTTTCATGAGTTAAAATTAACTTATTCTACGCAAGTGTAAATCAAATTTTTGAGGAAATTAAAATCAGATAACTTTCACAAAATTAATTTTAGCTAATAAAAAGTTTTTTTTTTCGTATGTTTTTTATGTTATAAATATTTATGGAAAAAATTATCTACAAGTCTAAAACAAAAGAGTGAAAAAAGAATCAAATAAGCCCTAATTCAGGAGTTCTCTAATATTGCTACTTGTGTGATATGGCAGGAAATTTCAATTGCAGCCAATGTGCCACAAAAGGAAATTGGTAAATACATCAAGATACTGGGAGAGGCTTTGCAGCTAAGTCAACCAATTAACAGCAATTCCATTTCAGTTCATATGCCAAGATTTTGCACACTCCTTCAGCTCAATAAATCTGCCCAGGTACCTGCAATTGCTCTGAAATTTGATAGCTTCAACCTCATTTCAGTTTTTAAAACTTGAAATAGTTGCAAAATGCCTACAAACAAAACCCGTTGAATTATTATGCCATGATATGTTTAGTGATAGATTTGGAATAACTGCACTATGGATTCCCTTCCCTGTGGGTGAGGAATTATTAGGCCTGTGTCCTTGTGACAGGATAAAATTTTGGTATAGGTGATGTGTACTCATTACATGGGTGGACATTCGGTTAGCCATAGATGACTAAGGATCAAGTTAGGTGCATTCTTCTATTATGTTCCATATATTACAAAATTCTGTGAATGACTCCTACGTTGTGTTTAGGAACTGGCTACTCACATAGGAGAGGTTGTGATCAACAAATGCTTCTGCACTCGCAGGAATCCAATTAGCATCTCAGCTGCTGCTATATATTTGGCTTGCCAACTTGAAGACAAACGCAAAACCCAGGCAGAAATTTGTAAGGTAACCGGTCTTACTGAAGTCACTCTGCGAAAAGTCTACAAGGAACTATTGGAGAATTGGGATGATTTGCTTCCCTCTAACTACACCCCAGCTGTTCCTCCAGAGAGGGCATTTCCCACGACTGTAATTGCTTCAGGTCGTTCTTCAACAGCCAAGGTTGATGTTGTGGAGATTATTTCTTCTTTGGACTCAGAAAAGTTGCCAGAAATTAAACCTAACAAACCTAATGATGTCTCAGCCATGGTTCATCATTCCAGAGGGAAGGATGAGGCTGAAGGCAAAAGCAATGCTCCCGCAAACCACTCCACACTGAATCAACAGTCAACTTTTTGGCAACCCCAGCTTCCCAGTGGGACACACAATCATCAGAATGTTTTACAAGGAATGGATATTGATGTATTGCAGCGTAACCACCAACAGCCTGAACACATGGCAGGGGAAACAAATGGTGCCGCCAATGGTAGTTCTCTAAAATCAAACCAACTTTGCTGTCCTCCTTCTTCCAGTGCAAACTCTGTTAAGAGGCCGTTTTCAGCTCCCCCTTCATCTGGGCCTTCAAATGTTAGATTAGTACAGTCACCCAAGACAATGCCAGGTTATCCGGAGCACTGATTAACAATGAATCAAAATGGTTGGGGAAATATCGGTTCTTGTGCCAACACCCAACCTAGCACATATAAACAAAATTAGTTCGTCTCTTTTTAAGTATACAATTGTGTATATATGTATTGTGTCATTTGATTTGTTTGTGAGTTGTGAACTGTTCTGTGGTTATTGCTAGAAAACTACAACCATTCAACCATCCATCCATCCATCAGTCGTTTATAGTTGACTTAACACTAACTCGTTTCATGCTGCATTGAATTTATTATTCAAAACTTGGTAGATTTCTTTGAATATGGAAATCATGGTCCTATCTGATTTCATGGTTCAAATCTCGAAGACAACACAGGACCACTTCGAACTAATGATGTGAGCGTTTTCCTTCCTCCTCTCATTTCCACTTGAGGGCTGTAATTTGGTTTGTTAGTGGGTTGTGTAGGAGATTGTCCTGTAATTTCTTAAAATCAACGGTTTACAAAAAGTGAGCACGTGTTCTCCAAAATGGAGGGAAAATAGAGTGAAGGGCACAGTGCCGAACGGGATCGGGTGCTCCTTGCAAAAATTGGACCACTTAAATAACTAGCCCGATACCCATGTTAACGGAATACTAAATGTGGATAAATATGCAAAATCTGACCCAATAAAAGACGGTCCACTTCAATTTACCCTGTACTTTTTTATATACTATAATAATAAATAATTAGTAATTAGTGTTAATTTTTAATTGACAGTGAAATTATTGTTTAAAATATCATAACTTGTCCAAAATTAAGTCTTCCCATTCATGTTTCTTTTATATTTGTAAATTGGTTATTGTAATTACTAGCGTTGGCTTTCGAGCTTGGTCTCTTTTGGCATTCTCTCACATCACCAACACCATGGAAGCCTCAAGGATGGTACTGTTGTCACCAATATCAAGCTGCAACGTGCGCAGGAAGCATCTTAACGAGTCACTGAGAAAGCCAAGGTCTTCTCCAATGGCACTGAAAATAGTGAACATGGCGAAGGAGGGCAGCGACACGGGCAACGGCATCATAGAAAAAGTAGCCATAGCGGGTGGATTAATCTCCACCCCAGTAATTGGTTGGTCTCTTTACACCCTCAAAACCACAGGGTGCGGCCTGCCACCTGGTCCAGGTGGCTCAATCGGTGCACTGGAAGGAGTGAGCTACCTCGTAGTTGTGGCCATAGTGGCTTGGTCCTTGTACACTAAAACCAAAACTGGTTCTGGTCTACCAAACGGTCCTTTCGGTTTGTTGGGTGCGGTTGAAGGCTTATCTTATTTGGCATTGGTTGCCATTGTGGTTGTGTTCGGGTTGCAGTACCTTGACCAGGGTTACATCCCTGGTCCTCTCCCCGCCGATAAGTGCTTCGGCTAGATTCTCTGCTAATACGAGCCACTACAATTCTATCCTTCTACTTCTGGATAAGGTCCCACCACGTGTCTTAGGAATCTCTTTTTCCTTTTCCACTTGTTACAATATTAAGTAACCATCTTTTTTTCTAAGTTGTAACTTGTAAGGTGTTTACGCCATAAATGGAAATGAATTTGTTTATGTCATTCTTTACTTTTAGACTTCATGATTTACACGATCATCTCAATGACATTATAAAAAAAATGCCAATAATTGGGCCAAATTTGATTTATTTTATTTTCATAGAGAAGAAACTATGGTTAATTTAATCTGTATAAAGTAAAAAGGTCTTAATTTTTGTCAGCCTCCATAGTCCACATACCATATGATGATAACTTGATTATACTTGGAGAATTTCTGGCTAGCCTAACTACTCTGTCTCGGAGTCTTCCTCCTAGAGTAAACAAGATGCTGACTTTGCCATGAATGGGATGGGACTGTATGATGGTTGTTTTTAGTTTAACTAAATAACTATCATCATTTTTACAAGTTAATAATCCTATTAAAATTGGTAATTCAGTTTTTCAGTAAATATTAGTCATTTAGTCATTGTTGAAACAAATGAATTTTTCGTATTAATTATATGTTCATCTAAAAAAAATATGTACTATATATAATAATTAGAGGTAATTGATGAAGATTTACTTCTCTGAAGAATATTATACAAAATGATTTGTTTGTAAAAATATTGTATTCTGTCATGTTGAAAATAAAGCCTATGGATATTTAAGAAGTTATTTTTAGCTGAATAATGTGTGTGCGTGTGTGTTTAGGTTGGTAAGCTATTTCAAGGTAATATGTGTTGTGAGTTAGCACAATCCTTTGAACCAAATTATGGCCGGACATTGGATGATGGAAGGAAAACCAGCCAAAAAAGGGTAAAACCTATAACTGATTAAACTAAGCAAGAGGTGGCGGAGACAAAAACATTGATTGAGAAAAACAGAAAGGTCCTCCTTTGTAGGAGACCATCGAGGAAAAACAGAAAAGCATCCTTCTGTATTATGCAACACGTTTACCTTTTCTTTCTGTTGTGAACCCCTGCTATTCTTCCACACTGAGGTACCTTTTTCTCCATCAAGAAAAAACGTCTCCTGAAGAGACTTTAATCCCATAATCTAGGACACCAAATTTCACAATCATTAGTAACTCAAAATAAAAAGTAGTAACCTGGTTTTGACTTTTACGTAGGTTAACTAATTATTTCACCTTTATTTACGTCTACATCTGCATGCATTGAGATATTTCGACCATAACTTGATATCTTGAAAGAATTTTCTTCTCTTTTTCAGGGGTCCCAACCTTTAATAGAAGAAAAGGCGGTGTTTCCGGCAACGTGCTTTATTGGCTCACAAACTCTTTGGCCGGAACCCAGAATTAAGCACTTCATGTGAATTCTGAGATACAAGAACAATGTCTTCAAAACCTCATAATAATTCTCCTGATAACGCATCACCTGATGACTCTACCCCTGATAACAGCACCCCTGATGATGCTGACAACTCATCTTCACCACCCTCACAATCTCCACCACCAAGCTCACCTCCTCCGTCATCACCGCCACCATCTTCGACACCACCTTCGCCGCCACCACCTTCGTCACCTCCACCGTCATCTTCATCCTCACCACCCTCTCCTCCTCCTCCTCCTTCGTCAAACAACCCAAGCCCTCCATCACCAAATGGGTCCCCCCAGTCACCTCCTCCACCCACATCAACACGTTCTCCACCCTCCTTTGAATCACCTCCACACAAATCACTACAACCTCCATCGCATCAAACTGACGGTGCCAGTAGAAGCGGCAGCAAGAATGGCGGTGGCAGTAGCGGCAATAATACAGGCAGTGGTGGTGGCGGTAGTGGCAATGACGATAATAGTAAGGCCATAGTTGGAGCAGTGCTTGGCGTAGGGAGCGTGCTTCTTATTTTGGTCATCGTTTGCGTTGTTTGCTCCAGAAGGAAGAAGAAGAAGAGAATGTACTATTATGGTCCTGGAGAGCAATCACTTGGAGGAAAAGGTAACCATGCAAAACCCTTGTTATTTCTTGCTTAGCTTTTTATACATATCATGCGCATAGGCATTAGGCGCCATCATAAGATGAAAAAATATTAAGTTATAGTTAACTTGTTCTCCAATCAAATTATATATTTCATCTCGACTATTGTTGCTGATTTTAGTTACCTAAAATTTGAAATTCACAAGAGAAAGAGTACATTTTTCATGCATGTCCCAAGAATTTACAAAATTTGCCATTCAATTTTCAAATTTTCACACATTTTATTATATTATTATTTAATACAACTAGTTAATCACTGACATATCATTCTTTACATAATACATTATGTTACATCATTTATTTGTATATCATATTAACAATTTATATTAATAATTAATATAACATGTTGATAATCAACATATCACATAAAAGAATATAATATATAATTGATTAAATGAATATTAAAATATGTAAAAATTTAATAATTAAGTGATAGATCGTATAATTTCAAAAAAAACTAAATGTCAAAATTTACAAAATCGTAACATGAATAACAAAATAGTACAATTAAGTCTATTTATTTTTTTACTTGTCATACATGCTACATATATTTTTATCTTTTCCCGTCTCTTCCTCTCTTTGTATGTGGACAGTGTTCAAGGATCATTTTTGGAAAAACAATACTAACATTTATATAGTTTGGGTACAAGTTTTGTTGATGAAAAGTTCTTAACCAAGCACAACTATTAATAGTTCAAGGTAATATATATTAAAATAACCTCAGTTATTTATAACTTAAACTATTGATTATCATGTTTACAAGCAATATGCTTGTGCAAGAATTGCTGGTTAGACAATAGTCATGCATGTATAATGTTATAGTATGTTACATTGATTCAAAATTTGGGGTACTCAATTCTTGATTCCTTCTTATTCTACACATGCAGGGAATAACTATGCTGGGAATAACTATTACAACAGCGGGCAACACCCAGGTTATTACGGAAATCCTCACGGGGACCATGTTGTGAGGGTACAAAACGGAATGGGCCCTGGCGGCGGTGGCGGGTGGGGTGCACCGCCACCACCGCCGATGATGATGAACAG